GGCAAAACACTGAAAATAAGAAAACCACCACCTGGCTAACCCCTGCTTGCGTTGACCCCCGTCTGAAGGCTCCCGGGGAGGGGCCCCGGGGAACCGCGGCAGACCTCCAGAGCAACTCTCGTCCACGGCCCGGCGGCTCCTCCGTGCCGCCGCCTCGCGCGGCCGTGCCGACCAGCCCCAGGACAAAGGTCGGACTGGACGGGGTCGGACAAGCGCGGCGGCTTCCAAGACACCCTCTCTCATCCTGACCTTCCAGGAGGGCTCAAGAACAGCAGTTGAATTCCTGTCGACGTTGTAAGCAGTCCCGTGAGGTCTAAGGTCTGGAGGGCTATTTCTTAACACTCTGGAAGGTCAGGGAAGGCACCTTCTGTCAGAAGCACCCATGCGCTTCTGCGAAAGCCCCTGCCCTGTAAGAGGCCCCCGCCTCCTCAGAAGGCCGCCACCATCGCGCCAGTCCCTGTGAGACTCAGCCAGGACGAAGATAACGTCGGGTGAGCATAAATCGAGAATCTCTGAACTCAGTGGCTCTGGAGGAGGTCTCGGGCGCCGCGGCCGTTCCAGAGTGCTCCGCAACGCTCTAACACCGTTCCAGAACGCTCTGAGAGCGTTCGGGGACTCGTTGGAGCGATCCATCCGGGCCCTGGCCCCGCCCGATCAGGACCACTCCACGGACCTCTCCTGGGGCGCAATTTCTGGCCGGGATCTCGAAGCGAATCCAGCCGTGGCGACGAAGGCTCTCCAGGACGAGCAGCAGTACCGGCAGCTCGTCCTCCTCTTGCCTTATGTTGCTCCCATCGTACTTGAGGACCACATCCCAGAAATAATTTCGAGCACCCGCCAAAGTGCCGCAAGAGTGTCGAAACACTGTAGAAGCAGCGTCTCCCGTGGCCCGACACGGGAGAACCCTCGAGCTTTTGGGTGCTTCTCTGAGGCTCGGAACTCTTTCTGGTGGTCAAGGCCGACATCGGTTGGAACATCACAACTCTTGCCCCAGGTGCCCGGTGCCAGCCGAGCGCTCGCATCGGGGAGGTGCGCTCGCCACCTTCAGCTGACTACCTACCAGACCACCCCAACCCAACCCGAAGACCCGAATTTGACCCGAATTTCGGGTTGGGGGGGGGTACGGGCACCATGTGTTTTTTCAACGTTCCCCGACCCCCCCCCACTGGAAATGGAGGGCAAATTGAGGCCTTCGGGTTGGGTTGGGGTGGTTTGGTAGGTGGTGATCAGCTGCCCGGCCCGTGACGGCGAGGGTCACCACTCGGACCGCCGGCGGCCGCTCGGCACGGCCCGGGCACCCCCCCAGGGCTCCCTCGGCGAGGCGCCGCTGCTGGACCGCATCCGGAGGCTGGAGGCCCGCTCAAAAAAAACAGAGCTTCCTTTCCGTCGGCGGCGAGGCGGCGGCGATATCTGACCCGCCGCCCGCGAAAAGGGTCCCTCGGGGGCGCCGGTCGGCAGAGCGTCCGGCCTGCAGGGAGAGAGCGAAGGGGGGAGGAGGAGGAGGGCGGCCGCGCGGGGGGAGGAGGAGGCAGGGAGCTCAGAAGCGGCGGCGGTCCGCGGTGAGCGGGCCAGAGCGGGCAGCCAGGGCAGCGAGCTCGCGGCGGCAGCCGGGGCCAGGGCCAGGGCGCCAAAGCTGAGGGCAAGCAGGAGCGTCCGAAAAAAGCTGGGAGCCTCCGCCCGGCCCCGCGCCGGCGGAGGCGGCGGCGACGAGGAGGGGGGGCCGGCGGCGGGGACGAGAGGCGGCTTCCAGGACGTCCTCCATCAGAAGGACCCGGTTGCTCCTGCGAAGTTCTAGAGTCAACCTGTATCATAAGGATGCACGGTGAGGATGCGAAGGGCCTTGGAGAACCATGTTTAACGCTTTGCGAACGAGGCTGGCCAGAGAAGGTCGCCAAGGATGGGCCGACGGGGCACGGATGCAAGGGTAGCTTTAAGCTCGGGCGCGTCCCCTCTGCAGGGGGATTTTGGGCGAAACATAAAAATTCGCCGGCCCAACGGGCCAGAGGCGTGCTAAGATCTCCGGTAACTTGTTAACAATATTTCTAGTTCGCGCGCGCGGAGCGGCCCCTGGGGGCCCCCGGACGAAAAGTACCCCGGCAAGGTCCCGAGAGAAGCCCGGGAGAAGCCACCAGACCACTCCAGGGGAGGGTATTTTTCGACACCCCTCACGAGGATCGTGGCCTCCGAGGGGGGAGCCGCAATCGACTACCCCCAAGAGCCCCCCAAGAGGCCCTGGGGGCCTCCAAAACGCCGCCAAGGAGCCCCAAGAGACTCCCAAGAGGTCCCCAAGAGGCCCCCAAGAGGCCCTAAAGAGGGCTCCAGGGCCGGCGGCATGAGCGAAGCGATTATTACACCAATCCATATTCCCAAATGTTCAAAAATACAAACAATCGTTCCCGACTATTTTTTGGCAATTTTTGGATGTCTCCCCTGTAGAAGGACAGGCCCGACTGAACTGTAGGATGCCCCCGTCTTCTCAGAAGGCCGCCACCATCGCGCCGCCCCCTCTGAGACGAAGCCAGGACGCGGGCGGGAACAAATATCATAAATTGGGAATCTCTGAGCCCCTGCGGCTCTGGAGGATGTCTCGGGCGCCGCGGCCTTCTCGGAGCGTTCTGGAACGCTCTGAGAGCGTTCCGCAACGCTATGGAACGAATATACCCTCGTCCTCGCCCCGTCCGACCCTCGCACCTCGTTCCAGAGCCGACCCAAGAACTCCGCGCGGATATCTGACAAAAACTCTGGCCAATCCTGGCCAAACCTGGACAAGCCTAGCGGGCGCCCTAAGAATGAGGACCTCCGACGTCGTAATTCTTCTGTGACGTGGACTGCCAGAAATGTCGACGCAATGGACGGGACCGGTTTCTCATTTGGATTTCTTTTACGGCCAAGGGGCCTGGTAAAGGCCCCCGACAACTGCTAAAAATCGCCTGTCACGATTTGTTCACACGCAACGGGGTCAACCTCCCTCTTGAGAAGACCCATCAACACCGATGCCGCTACTCCCTGGACCTCTCCCGGGGCGCGTTCTGACCATGATTTCGAGGCGAATCCAGCCGTGGCGACGAGGGCCTCCCAGGAGGCCCAGAAAGGCGAAAACGAAGGAAGGCTATAACCTAGCGGTATCGGTAACTTTTTCTCCTCTTAATAGACGTTCGAATCGGAGATTGACTAGTACCCCAAAACATCGTTCCGTCGAATCTGCGACGACAGCGTAACACGTTCCGTAGGTCCACGAAGCATTCTGCATGTTGTCCGCAGACTCGACCGACGAAAATCAATTCTGGGGCAGGTCCACTCTGTAGTCGATCTCCTGCTCGAGAAACGCTCTAAACCTTTCTTCCTCCTACCCCCCCGCGACGGCGAGGATTGAGCAGGGACCGACCGTCCGGCATTCCTGCAGGCCTCCCACGGAATCTTCTTAGAACGCAGAGATGTTCTTACAAACAATAATGCTCTTAGTATATAGACCCTGTGCAGTAAAGCAGGACGGTCTCAGCCAGAGACGCTCTGAGAACATCTCGTGCAGCCCCCCGAAAGGTTCTTCGAGCATTCCCTGGTGGGCCTAGAGGCAAGCCAAGACGCTTCGCCACTGCTCGAGAGGAGCGGGCGCCCACTCTAGAGGGATCCTAGATGGGGTCGCGCCGCATCGCCAATGCATCGGCGACGCATCGGCGACGTCGGCGACGCATCGGCGCCATCGGCGTAGAGAAGATCGGGCTCCACATCTATGCATCGGCGATGCGGCGCGATCCTCCGACTCCATCCACTCCGGCCCCATCCAGGAGGCCTACGGTGGAGGCCAGCCCACAGGAAACCTCCCACAAGAGACCCAACCATCGAGACCCCAGGGCGTCCCTCTTGATTTTTGGTCTGGGAACGTCACGGTCTCCATCGCAGAGCCATCGAGGCCCAAGCCACACATGGGCACCCTGGAGGCAGGCAGGGTGCTCCTTGGCGTGGGGCTCCTCTGCAGAGAGACGCTCTTCGCCACTGCTCGAGAGGAGCAGTGGCGCCGCGGCCGGAGCCCCCGCGAACGGCGTTTTGATGCTCATCCTGGGGGCCTGCCCGGAGGCGCTCGCTCCGCTCGTGCGTCGAAGCTGCGTCGGACGCCCGTCGATTCGAGTCGGCCTTGGGCCGAGCCTTGGGTCGAACCTGAGTCGAGGTCGAATTTGAGCCGAACCTGAGTCGAACTGGGGTCGAATTGGAGCCGAACCTGAGTCGAACCTGAGCCGAACCCGAGTCGACCTTGAGTCGAACTGGGGTCTGACTAGAGTCGAACTGGGGCCGCACTGGGGTCGAAACCGAGTCGAACAGATCCGCCTCGTGGGCCCGAGGAAGGCCCCCCAAACGAACGCCTGCACGGCGAGACGCAGCCCCCGCGGCGATGCATCGGTGATCCTCCGACCCCATCTGTCGGGGGCGGCCAAGAGGGGGGCGTCCAAGAGGGGGGGGGGGCGCAAATCATGGCCGGCGGCATGTGCGCGGCCCAGGGGAGGAGCCAGGGACGTACTTCTTGAAACAAGAAGGGGCCCCATAACGTCTGAGGAAACATCACGTCCCACGCCATGATACCCCCCCCCCTAGCCATCACCCCCTTCTTGGCCGCCCCGAATCTGCTCCGAGCCCACCTGGGATAGGGAGCCCACAAAGGACGTACGCGCCCAGCTATGTACATGAACACGGCCACTCGATTCGCGAGACTGGCCGCGTTATACGAACATTTGTGCATTGCGTGCTCTCGAAACCAGCGTGGATTCATGTACATGTACGTCCTTCTTTCGCTCCTGATGGGAGGCCTCCAGAGAAGCGGGCGCCCCCCCGCGACGGGGAGCCGCAGCCCCCGCGACGGGGAGGAGCCGGCCGGCGCCCCCGTCGGCGCGCCGCGGCGGGCGGCGCTCCCGGCCAGGCGCCGCGAGTCCGGGTAGCGCCCGCCGAGGCGGCCGCCGCCTTCGGGGCGGGGGGCGCCACTGTTAGGTCGGGCGTGTCCCCCTGCAGGCGGATTTTGAGCGAAAAATTTGAAAAAATAGCCCAAAGATGTACAAAAATAGTCAAAGCATGACTCAAGAAATCGTTCCCAGACTATTTTTTGACTGCTTGTGAAGATTCCTCCTGTGGAGGGACAGGCCCGACTGAAGTCCGCTTCGCATGTGGCATCCTCGGGGGGCCTTGGGCCTTGCACGTCCCCTCGCGGCCGGCAGCCGCGTCGAGTCCGCGTCGTGATCCACGTGTCGGACTGGGAAGAACTGCGCACGCCCGAGCGAGGCCAAGTGGATGAGCCGGGTCCTGGGCCCTCAGGGGGTCCCCGGTACCCGCCCCGGTCATTCCGCATCATGCCCACGCAAGAAACCCACCACAGTCAAACCGTGCACAGTCGACCCGTACCAGAAAGATGCGCGATGAGGACGCAAGGGCCCTGGACGCCCATCTCGAAGCTTCTTGGGCGGGGCGCGGCCAGCGAAAGTGGTGAAGGATGGACCGAGGAGGCAAGGATGCAAGGGTATAACTGGGGAAGGTTGCCCATGCTCGCTGTGCGGGTTGACTGAAAGGACGGGTGGTATGGACGCAAGACCCTTGGAGGCCGAAACTGTTTTTTTTTGGGCGGCGGGCGACCAGTGAAAGCGGCGCAATGGATGGGCGGCGGAGGCAAGGACACAGGGGTACCCTAAATGAAGGCGCGCGTCCTTACTAGGCGCGTTGACTGCCGCCCGAAAACAATGGAACATATGCAGGGCCTGCTCATTTCTCAACACGCCCGAAAAACTCAAAACTTCGGCACCCGGAAATCTGGACCTTTTCCCTTGGACAGGTTTTCATCCCGAGCCGTTTTCTGACGATCCCAAGGCCCGGCGAGGCCGAACGTTGCCAATGACATCCGTCTTCATGATTTCAGTACGCTCGCTGCCTGGGCTTGCTTCGTGGCGACTTGGGACGCACGAGGTGGGTACAGAAGGGGACGGGTACGATGCCCAGCCACAAACGTCGTCCAAAACAGGCAACGGCCGCTGTTGGGCAGGCGGTCTTCGGCCTCAAATGGACAGCGCCCGCGGCGACACCGACAGCGATTCCTGCTCGCGATGAACAGGAACTGCTGTTGTAGGTAAGCGGGCTCTATACACCGACGCTTTTTTTCCGACCCTGCGCTGAAATTCGCACAGGAACGCGGATCCTGGTGTACACGGGATCCTGGTGTATACATTTTTCGTTGTGTCCCTTGGAAAACCGAAAAATACATCCCCAGGACGAAAGTGTTTTTTTCTTGGGCCCAAAGCGACGGTGTGAAATCTTCAGCAGACCCGTATGAGATAACCGCCGTCGGATCTCATGAAGCCCGCGCGGATCCAAATGTGGCTTTGGTGTTTGTTTCGGTGGGTCCGATTTCCGTCCGTACGGATCCGATTTCGGATTCGTTGGGCCCGTGCCCAGTCTCATTTTTTACGGCGGATCCGATTTCTACCCTGTTTTAAATGAATATTATGAAATTCAACCAACCAGGAGGCCGGAAGAAATCGGATCCGCGGACCCCGCAAACCGCCCGTGTTAAGATTTTATGGGGAAGGGGGGTTCGGTAATCAACTTTCCACGATGGGCCCTGCGTCGTCTCGCGCACTCCCATTAACTCCCCGCGCGAGCGGGCCCCATTCAACATGAACACATACATCCCCCCCCCCGGTTGCTGCAAACAGCTCGTCCGGTCGCCGTCCGTTCGGCGGCGCCGACGTTGTCTCGCGAACTCATCGTGGCCATCTTCACCTCAAAAAGAAAATGTTTCGTCCTGCGTAAGTGCGTTTCGGCCCTGCGTCTCCTCACCCAACGGACTGCCTGTGAGATGTGGTGTCGGCTGTGTGGTAACCAACAACGGACAACGGACTGCCTGTGAGCTGTGGTGTGTCGGCTACGTTGTAACCAACGAGTCCGAAGGCCAAAACGCTCATGCGTTTCGGCCCTGCGTCTCCTCACCCAACGGATTGCCTGTGAGATGTGGTGTCGGCTGTGTGGTAACCAATAACGGACTGCCTGTGAGATGTGGTGCGTCGGCTACGTAGTAACCAGCGAGTCCGGAGGCCAAAACGCTAGTGCGTTTCGGCCCTGCGTCTCCTCACCCAACGGACTGCCTGCGAGATGTGGTGTCGGCTGTGTGGTAACCAACAACGGACTGCCTGTGGGATGTGGTGTGTCGGCTACGTAGTAACCAACGAATCCGAAGGCCAAAACGCTCATGCGTTTCGGCCCTGCGTCTCCTCACCCAACGGACTGCCTGTGAGATGTGGTGTCGGTTGTGTGGTAACCAACTACGGACTGCCTGTGAGATGTGGTGTGTCGGCTACGTAGTAACCAACGAGTCCGGAGGCCCAAACGCTCATCCCTAGGACGAAAATGTTTTCCTCTTGGGCCCAGAACGACGGTGTGAAGTCTTCAGCAGACCCGTATGAAATAACCGCCGTCGGATCTCATGAAGCTCGCGCGGATCCAAATATGGCTTTGGTGTTTGTTTCGGTGGATCCGATTTCCGTCCGTACGGATCCGATTTCGGATTCGTTGGATCCGTGCCCAGTCTCTTTTTTTACGGCGGATCCGACTTCTACCCTGTTTTAAATTAGTATTATTAAATTAAACCCAGAAGACCGGAAGAAATCGGATCCGCGGACCCCGCAAACCGCCCGTGTTAAGATTCTATCGGGAAGGGGGGTTCGGTAATCAACTTTCCACGATGGGCCCTGCGTCGTCTCGCGCACTCCCATCAACTCCCCGCGCGAGCGGGCCCCATTCAACATGAACACATACATCCTGTGTTGGCTACGAACAACGTCCGGACAAACCTGTCCGGAACATCGTCCGGAACACATGTCCGGAACACTGTCCGGAACAAACGCGTGGATTCCACGTCCCTGGGCCCCCCCACTCCCGGGGTCCTTGGGGGCCTCAGGGCCCTCCGGGCTGGTAGCACCCGCGGCCCGCAGGCCGCCCAGGAACGTAGATATCGGGCGTTCCGATGCCAAGAGGGGCCCAAATGGACGTCCCTGGGCACGCGGCAAAGTCTGCCGCTCTCCAGGGCCAGCCAGCGCAACCGACCCTCGGGGGGCTTGGCCCAAAATGGCAACGGAAGACGAGGCTCGGTCCTCCTCGCCCTCGTCCCCGCCCTCGTCCTTCGCCCCCGCCTCCTCCTCCCCGCCCCCCCCCTCCCCTTCCGTATCATCGCGTCGCGCACCATACGTTGGGGCAGTGCGCCGGGGGGCCCATGCTGATGTCAAGCATCCAGCAATTGCTCAGGGGGGTCCGGGGGGCCCTGCCTCCTGCCTACTCCCTCGCCCAAGGCCTTAGACTTCGAGCGCTCCGACGGCCGAGGTAAGCAAAACATACGTTTCTGGGCAGCGACGCGCCCTGCCATAGGCGTCCACGAGTTACGCGGAAACCGACAACCGACCGGCATCCGACAACCGCTAGAGTCGCCTCCTTTACTTGCGGCCCCCCATCCGACGATCCAGCCTGGCCGCGCCGACCAGCAAACCAACCAACCAACCAAGCGAGTCTGAGGAGGAGGAGGAGGATAATAATGATGATACAAGATGATGAGAAGGATGATGACGATGATGATGATGATGATGATGACGATGATGATGATGATGATGATGATGACGGTGATGAGGATGATGAGGAGGAGGCAGTATGGGGAGGGAGGCCCCCGAAGGCCAGAAAATCTCGAACCTCGATCTTCAGGGCCTTGAGGCGTAAACCTCGGTGTGAAACCTTATCGGTTTCTGGGCCGTACTTCGGGCCTCCGGCAGCCGTTCCGGGCGATTCCAGCACTCCGGGGCGCAGCGTTCGTTCCAGATCCGTTTCTGACGGCGTCGCGCTCGGGGGCCCGAAAACGGGCCCCAAACGTCCCAAGATCGACATACGAAAGGGATAACGCCAGTTACCCCCCCCGACCCGCCCACCCCCGAAACGGTAACGCCAGAAAAACCAACCACAGGGAGAATTCCCCCGCCCAAGGACGTCGATTTTGCTCCCCGGCGGCGCCTGAACGTCCGAAATCTACGTCCCTGGGCGGCGCGGCCCCCAAGGACGTCAGTTTCTACAGTTGTCCGGAACAACTGTCCGGAACAAATTGTCCGGAACAACTGTCCGGAACAAACTGTCCGGAGCAACATTTTGTCCGGAGCATGTCCGGAACGTCCGGAACATTGTTCGTGGCCAACACAGCATACATCCCTCCCCCCCCGGTTGCTGCAAACAGCTCGTCCGGTCGCCGTCCGTTCGGTGGCGCCAACGTTGTCTCGCGAACTCCTCATGGCCATCTTCACCTCAAGAAGAAAATCTTTCGTCCTGCGTAAGTATACACCACACCACCCCGACGTCGTCCAGGACCCTCAAAAAGTCCTGGGATTCATGAAACAGCCCGCCAGTGGTAACGTATACGCTCCAGTTTCCGATGTTGGTCTTCGTACCTATTGTTTCCTTACAGATTTCGATCGCACCGAGCGAAAATCTGAGGACTGCCCCTTACGGGCGGGCCGCGCGCCCCTCGGGGCTCTACTGACCCGGGCCCCCCAAAAAAGCCGGGTCAGTCGGGCTCTGCAGAATCCTGCAAAATCCTGGAGGATCCTGCGCGCTAGCCCAGGCCAGTGCACCCCTGGCCCTGCAGGAGCCTGCAAGATCCGGCGCTCTGGCTGACCCCCGTTTGCACGGACACCCGCCTCAGTAGAACAAGAAAGAGCGCGCCAGGGGCGGGCCCAGCGCGAATCCAAGAAATCCGCGCGGAGCGCCAACCATTTATGTTGATGGCGTTTTTCCTTCTTCGACTCAAGGCTCCCGTTAGGTCGGGCATGCCCCCCTACAGGCGGATCTTGGACGAAACATTAAACATACAAAGCAACTAATTATTCCCAAATGGTCAAACATCGAAGCACAAATCGTCCCCAGGTTTTTTTTTCCCCTTAAAAAAATATATGTTTGACTACCCCTCCCGTAGAGGGACAGGCCCGACTGAAGGCTCCCGAGGCCTTCCCCTCCCCCCCCCCCCGGAGCGGGCCGGGCGGGCCGGCGGTGCCTTCCGCGCCCTGCTCTGGGCTCAGCGGCGCCAGGCCTGCGGAGGGAAGGGCGGGGCGCCTCCTCCCCCAGTCCACGGGAACACGGGGGAGGGGGGGGTCCGCGGAGCTGCGGGCGCTGCGGCGGTGTCGGCCGCCGAGTGGGAGCAGCTTCCCTGACCTTCCAGAATGCCACAGCATAGCCCTCCAGACCTGCAGGCCCATCTGGACTGCCCAGAAACCTCGACAGGAATTCCGATGTCGGAGTCCTGGCGCTATCTGCTGGCCCTCCGGGAAGGTCAGGGCTGCAGCTGGTGCTCCTCGGGCGACGAGATCCGTGCAGATCCACCGCCCCTGGCCAGGCCCATTCCTGGGCTCGGGAGCGGCATTGCACGCCCCCCTGCCCTGGCCGGCTCGGTGTCTCGTGCCTTCGTGGAGCGCAGGCTGTTGGCGCGGCTCTGCGTCAGTGCTGGCGCGGAAAGTTCGGAAGGTGGAGGCCACGGGGATAGGATTAAGTCGGGCCTGTCCCTCTACATGAGGAGTATCCAACAGTATGAAAAAATAGCCTTAGGACTATCTGCTTTAGTATTTTTGGCTAGCATGTCTGATCATTATTTTGAGTTTCTCTCATTCTCCCTCCAGAAGAAGGCTAGGATAAAAGCCAAAAGCGTGAGAAGCTCGGGCCGCGAGGTCCCCACGCGTCCTCCGCTACCTCCCGGGCGAGGCTCCTCCCGGGCCGCGGGGGGGGGGCGGAGCGCACGGGCCTCTCCCTGGCCCGTTTGCGTCGAGCCGGGCATGTCCCTCCACGGTAGGTTCGCGCGGCGATGGCGCGCCGGCGACGCTGGCGGAAACGTTCGAGGTTAAATTCCGCACGATGGAGCGGCGCGGAAACTCCGAGGGGCATGGTCACGCCACGGGACCCGACAGGACTCAACCTTGGGCCATCGGGACCATCGGGGCCATCGAGACGGCGTCAAAAACCTTCGCGTGCGCCGACGCCGCACGAACCTACCGTACAGGAGTAATTCTTAAAAATACGCAAACAATGCTCTGGGGACGATTTTGCTTTGTTTTTGAAAATTTCGGGGCATCTTGTTGACTATCTTGTAGTTTCCCTTCAACATCCGCCTTTAGGAGGATATGCCTGACCTCATCTTTGCGCCAGCTCTCCCGGGGCGCGCCCTGTCCGTTTTCCCCTGTTCCCCCCCGTCCTGCATCTGGTAGTGGTGGTGGACAGTTTGCCCATCAGTCGTGGCAAGAGTCACGACGTCGGAGGTCCGAAGGAGGGGTCGGGGGCGTCCAGGAGGGGCGGGGGGCGTCCACGAGCGGGATTCGCAGATCATGGCCCGAAGCATGTGTGCGGACGAGGGGGAACGCAAACTGGAAAGAAATCTGCGGGAGGTCATCGTAGGAACTATCCGTGGCAATTCAATCAGGTTGCCAGGCGGGATTTGGGCCAGATTAAACGGGGTCAGGCCAGATCGGGCCAGTTTTCGATCACGGATCTACCAGCGCCGATGCTGGATTGAACCTCCCAGGAGCTGCATCCTGCAATTAATCCGTATCATAAGGATGTGCGGTAAAGATGCAAGGGCCTTGGAGGCCCATGTGAACGTTTTTTCGAACGAGGTTGGCCTGCGAAAGTCGCTAAGGATGGGCCGAAGGGGCAAGGATGCAAGGGTACCCTTGAGACTGTTGCCTATCCTTACTATGCGGGTTGACTGTAAGCAAGGCGGGACCAGGGGAAGAAGAGGGGGACATGAAATCTGGGGCGACGTCGTGGCCCATGCCATGAAGGCGCCCAGACGGCCCTTTAAGGTCCCCAGGAGAACCACCAGACGACCCAAGGAGTCCTCAAGATAAGATCCCCCGAGGCGCTGCCAAGAGGCACCAACAGGCCCCCGAAGAGCCCCTCAAAAGGCCCCTCTCCTCCTCCTCCTCCTCCTCCTCCTCCTCCTCCTCCTCCTCCTCCTCCTCCTCCTCCTCCTCTTGCTCCTCCTCCTCCTCCTCCTCCTCCACCTCCACCTCCACCTCCTCCTCCTCCTCCTCCTCCTCCTCCTCCTCCTCCTCAAGGGCGGAAGTGGCACAAATGACGGTCTCCCGTGCTGCCTTGAATAGCGCCGCCCAACATGTTGGACTGGCACGGTGGTGGACTTGCCGCAAGCAGCTGGATAATCCTTCATTTCGCAGCATAATCTCTCGGTGTCGCCACAAATCGGCCGCACACTGTTTTGGGCAGTGCCTGAGACCGCCGAAATCCAACATTGACAGAACACACCTGCCCATGGAATTCACATGATCGAGCAGTCCTCCTGTCCGCAATTTCGTCTGCCCCCGGTGCCGTCGCAAATGCGTTGCCGATCCTCATCGGTTTCCTCGCGATCGTCGCCTCCCATGCCGCGATAGAGAATGAATAACTTCAATGAGAGGACAAGGCGGAGACGGAGGAGGCGGAGGACAAGAAGGTAACAACACCTACCACTTCCCAGCATACGCTCGCGACAGGACGTCCTGCGCATGCGTACTGCAGGTGAGCTCAGTGGCGAGACTGCTTAGCGGGCAAACTGTCAATGTCAACAGAAACAACAGTAGCGAAGTATGCCGAAAATGAATCAACCGAAACAACATGAATATACATCATGCGCGGTGCTAATCTGGATCCGTCAGGAGGCTCTGGACAGGTGGTCGCAAACACGCTAGAAGGAACCTACCGAATTCCATCATGAAGCAGACAACCACAAAACCAACAGCACCAACAACGCGCTGGCAGATGAACACTGCGTGATCTCGTATGTGCTCGCAGGCGCTGCTGTCAAGAACTGCGGACATTCGGAGGTCGCGGATACACGCTAATCGCTTCGCAATAACTCCCAGCGAGCGGCTGAAAAGCGCACAGGCATCGTGACGCCCTAAGGAACCACGAACACAGAGCGAATGGGGCTTTTCTGGCCACGGCGATCCTCGGCCAAGAACAGTTTCCACGACCTAGACCTTTGGATGCCATGACAAGGGACACCCTAGCAATCTTATCGTTGGATTAAACATGTGTGTAAACTGTTTGTACAATGTTATAAGCATGTGTGCAACATGGTGTTTGCATGCATAAGACAGGTTAAACTTATATTTAGGCATCTGGCAATGATTTGGCAACATGCTTCTTCTCCATTGACCGTTGTTCACAAACTTACACCTAAGGAGCGTCCCGAGAATGAGTTACTCCTGAGCCAAAAGTGGTCCCTCTTTCGGCGTCGTGGCTGCACGCATCTCGTCAACCGATGGACTCCGCAGCAGCAGCAGCAAGCACAAGCGAGCGCACTGCAGCAGACGCACAGGAGGAACTCGCCGACCCCTGTGGGGTCTCCTCGGCGTGCGACCCTTCCCCGAACCCATAAACCGAGAGACCAGTCCAGCCAGCTTACAGTCGGCGGCGGATCTCATATTAGATATTGAAACTAGAAAGTGGATCACATAGTTATTGAACCTCCACTGTTTGAGGCTCTCGTCCTCAGGGCCCCATCCCTCGGGGCCGCGTCTTTGAACCGCCGATGCAAGGAGAGAGATGGTCCGGCCGAACCTGCCGAACCCGCCTGCGGGCTCGTCTGCCCCAGAAATGCTCCCGATCGCGTTGAAATCCCACCAGACGGTCTCAAGATGGCCCTAAAGGGAGCCAAGGCAGCCCAAGACGGCCCTTCTGTAGTCGCAGCCGTCGTCGTCACTCTGTCGCCGCCGCCGTCGCGCGCACGCGCGCGCGGGGAAGCCCCGGTCCTGGCGCCGATCCAAGAAATCCGCGCGGAACGCCGAGAAATTAGGTTCATGCCGATTTTTGTTCTTCGACCGATGGTGACGACGGAAGCTTCCCCCAGCATCGGGCGTTGCTTGATGGGCGGGGCAATAAACGGGGGGGTGAAGAAAATATGCCTTCAGGGCTCCTTTTCTGCAACCCGCGACCTCCCCAACCCAAACGTGCGATGTCCTGACTTTGAAAATACGGGGTCCCCAGAAGCCCCGACCTTTTCCCTGGGACCGCTTCTTCGACCCAGGTTGCTTTTTGACTGTCCGGGGGCCCTGTAGGGGCCCCCATGAGGCCCAAAGCGGCCAAACACCACCCCCCTGCCCTTCTTTCGGGGATACGTGACACTCGGGTTCGGGGGACTCGGGTTGGCCTGACGGGGCCATCATAAAAATGACGAGACCCACTCTGACATTTGACGCGAACTCCCGCTGAAAATTTCCTACGAATGCTGGACCGTCAACACCCAGGACGCGCAAATCAAACATTGCGCCGGCAACCCCGAGCTCCGGCGCGTACTCGAATCTTACGTCTGTCTCCCTGCTCCCTCAGGACGCGAGACAACGCCCCCCTCCCTCCCCCCCTCGGGGATCTTCTGACCCGGGTCAATCCAGACCCGGGTCAATCAGGCCTTTGAATCCTGCAAGGTCCTGCAACGTCCTGACAGATCTTGCACCCAAACCCGGTCAATGCGACAGATCCTGCAGGATCCTGCACCCATCCCCGGGTCAGCATGCGACCCTGGCCCTGCAGGATCCTGCAAGGTCGGGCGCTCCGGCTGCCCCCCGCTTGCATGTACCCACGTCTCTTGAGCCCCGACACCCGCAATGAGACCCCAAAATCGAATCGACAAGTCGGACCGGCGATCGATACGAATCGGATCGACGGAAATCGGCAACCGCATCGGGAAACATCGCATCGGCGGACATCGGCAGGCTGGTGTGCCTCCAGTGAGATCGGAGCCCAGACCGGAATCCCGAGCCGAATCGAATCGGTATAGGAAGCCATCGAAGTCGAATCGCATCGAACCGGAGGAATCGAAACGAGCCCCGACCCCCGCTTGAGCAGGGACAGACCGTCCCGGCATTCCTGTAGGCCAACCACGACATGTTCTTAGAACCCAAAAATGTTCGAAAAACAAAGACCATGTTCTTAGAGCAGAAGCCCGATGTGTTAAAGCAAGACAGCCCCGGCCAGAAATGTTCTAAGAACATTTTGTGGAAACGACAGGTTCTTAGAACATTGTTTGGTAGGCCTATAGGCACGCCAGGACGCTTCGCCACTGCTTGACCCGCGCGCCGCCGTCAAATCCGTCAAATACCCCAAGCATAATCAAGCATACGCAAAAAACGTCCCCAGACTGTTTTTTGTTGTTTACTATATTTTTGGATATTCCCCCTGTACAGGGACAGGCCCGACTTAAAACGAGCCCCGACCCCGACCGAAACGAGCCCAACCGAATGCCCCGAAACGAGCCCCGACCCCTGCGCGCGCCGCCGTCGTAGCCCCAGCCGCACCCGCTCGAGCCTTCGGCCGAGGCGCGCGGCGTCCCCGCGGCGGCGCTGCTCGCCGACCTGCTGCTGTTGGAGCCCCGCACCTGGCGGGCGCCGCGGGCGGGGCGGAGCCCCGCCCCCCCCACCCCCCGACCCCTTCGAGCCATGAAAAAATCACGACTGCAGGTTTTTCCCAACCCTCCTGCGTTGGGTTCTCGTTTTGAATAGAGCAGCTGCGGTCGCGACTCCTCTCCTCTCCTCTCCCGCCCCCTCCTCCTTTCCTCTTCCGCCCTGCTTCCTACCTCGCTCGCTCCTGCGTGCCAGTTTGTCTCCTACCTCACCATCCCTGGGGGACTGCGATCTGCGAAACTGTCACCACTTTCGAGGGCTGCTGGGGGGCCCAGCGGAGTGGGGTCATACGCAGATTCAGATTACACCTCGCCATCCCTGGGGGGCTGCGATCTGCGAAACTGTCACCACTTTCGAGGGCTGCTGGGGAGCCCAACGGAGTGGGGTCGTACGCAGATCCAGATTCGACCTCGCCATCCCTGTGGGGCTGCGATCTGCGAAACTGTCGCAACTTTCGAGGGCTGCTTCGGGGGTCAGCGACGCAGATCCAGATTCGACCTCGCCATCCCTGGGGGGCTGCGATCTGCGAAACTGTCACCACTTTCGAGGGCTGCTGGGGGCCCAGCGGAGTGGGGTCATACACAGATTCAGATTAGACCTCGCCATCCCTGGGGGGCTGCGATCTGCGAAACTGTCACCACTTTCCAGGGCTGCTGGGGGGCCCAGCGGAGTGGGGTCATACGCAGATTCAGATTACACCTCGCCATCCCTGGGGGGCTACGATCTGCGAAACTGTCGCAACTTTCGAGGGCTGCTTCGGGGGTCAGCGGAGTGACGTCATACGCAGATTCAGATTCGACCTCGCCATCCCTGGGGGGCTGCGATCTGCGAAACTGTCACCACTTTCGAGGGCTGCTGGGGGCCCAGCGGAGTGGGGTCATACGCAGATTCAGATTACACCTCGCCATCCCTGGGGGGCTGCGATCTGCGAAACTGTAACCACTTTCGAGGGCTGCTGGGGGGGGGGGCAGCGGAGTGGGGTCATACGCAGATTCAGACTACACCTCGCCATCCCTGGATGGCTGCGATCTGCGAAACTGTCACCACTTTCGAGGGCTGCTGGGGGGCCCAGCGGAGTGGGGTCATACGCAGATTCAGATTACACCTCGCCATCCCTGGAGGGCTGCATCTGCGAAACTGTCGCCACTTTCCAGGGCTGCTGGGGGGCCCAGCGGAGTGGGGTCATACGCAGATTCAGATTACACCTCGCCATCCCTGGGGGGCTGCGATCTGCGAAACTGTAACCACTTTCGAGGGCTGCTGGGGGGCCAGGCGGAGTGGGGTCATACGCAGATTCAGATTCGACCTCGCCATCCCTGTGGGGCTGCGATCTGCGAAACTGTAACCACTTTCGAGGGCTGCTGGGGGGCCAGGCGGAGTAGGGTCATACGCAGATTCAGACTACACCTCGCCATCCCTGGAGGGCTGCGATCTGCGAAACTGTCGCCACTTTCGAGGGCTGCTGGGGGGCCCAGCGGAGTGGGGTCATACGCAGATTCAGACTACACCTCGCCATCCCTGGGAAGCTGCGATCTGCCAAACTGTCGCCACTTTCGAGGGCTGCTGGGGGGCCCAGCGGAGTGGGGTCATACGCAGATTCAGATTAGACCTCGCCATCCCTGGGGGGCTGCGATCTGCGAAACTGTCGCCACTTTGGAGGGCTACTGGGGGGCCCAGCGGAGTGACGTCATAATTACGCAGATTCAGATTACCGCCCATTCCATCCTTCTCCTGCCCCTCGTTCCTGTCCCCGTCATTCTCCGAGCCTTGGGCCTCAATCCTTGTTCTTTCGATCGTCGTCCTGTGAGTCGTGCAACGCATGCGCATCCCATGTAGTTTGCGCAGCAGTTCACCGCGTCTACACTGTCATTGTTCCTGCTATTGTTGGCCTACTCCTCTTGCCACTTGATGCACATGGGTTGGGTACGTCTCAGGGTAATTCCACTTTCGGCCCCGTAAGGGGCCCTCCCCGGGCCTCGGGGCCGTCAAACAAAAAAATACTCGGGATGAAGAGCCGGCCCCCGGGAGTGGGTCCAGACCTCTTGGGGGTTGCGTCATGAAATAATTATTCACTGCGTGGGGTTCCCCATATGTGCATCTCCTTGCTGGCGCTCCCTTGGCGGTGGGACTCGGTGAGGACGAATCTGGATTTAAGTGTGACTGAGCTGCCTCTCTCTCTCTCTCTCTCTCTCTCTCTGCTCTCTCTGTCTCTCTCTCTCTCTCTGCCCTCTCTCTGTCTCTGCCTCTCTTTCCCTGCCTCTCTCTCTCTCTGTCTCTCTCTCTGCCTCTCTCTCTCTGCCTCTCTCTCTCTGCCTCTCTCTCTGTGCCTCTCTCTCTCTCTGCCTCTATCTCTGCCTCTCTCTCTCTCTCTCTCCTCTCTCTCTTCTCTCTATTCTCTCTCTGCTCCCTCCTCTCTCTCTCAACCTCCCTCTCTCTCTCTCTCGCTCTCTCTCTTCTCTTCTCTTCTCTTCTCTTCTCTCTCTCTATATATCTCTCTCTCTCTTTCTCTCTCTCTCTCTCTCTCTTCTCTCTCTCTCTCTTTCGCTCTCTCGCTCTCTCTTGCTCTCTCTCGCTCTCTGTCGCTCTCTCTCGCTCTCTCTCTCTCTCTCTCGCTCTCACTCGCTCTCTCTCGCTCTCTCTCGCTCTCCCTCGCTCTCTCCCGCTCTCTCTCTCTCTCTGCTCTCTCTCTCTCTCTCTCGTCTCTCGCTCTCTCTCTCTCTCTATCTCTCTCTTCTCTTCTCTTCGCTTCTCTCTCTCTCTCTCTCTCTTCTCTCTCTCTCTCTCTCTCTCTCTCCCCCCCCCTCTCTCTCCACTTTCTCTCTCTCTCTCTCTCCTCTCTCTCTCCCTTCTATCTCTATCTCTCTCTTCTCTCTCTCTTCTCTCATCTCTCTCTCTCATCTCTCTCTTTCCCCCCCCCCCTCTCTTCTCCACTTTCTCTCTCTCTCTTCTCTCTCTCTCCTCTCTCCTCTCTCTCTTTCTATCTCTATTTCTCCTCTCTCGCTGTCTCTCTTTTCTCTCTCTCTTCGCTCTCTCTCCTATCTCTTCTCTCTTCTCTCTTTTCCTCTCGCCTGTCTCCTCTCTCAACTCGCCTCTCTCTCTCTCTCCGTCTCTCTCTCTCTCTCTCTCTCTCCTCTCCCTCTCTCTCGCTTCTCTCTCTCTCTTTCTTGTCTCTCTCGCTCTCTCTCCTCTCTCTCTTTCTCTCTCCATTATCTCTCTCTCTCTCTATCTTCCTTCTCTCTCTCTCTCTCTTCCTCGCTCTCTCTCTCTCTCGCTCTTGCTCGCGTCGCTCGCTCGCTCTCTCTCTCTCTCTCTCTCTCTCTCTCCTCTCGCTCGCGCTCGCGCTCGCGCTCAGGCGCTCCGCGCCTCGCGCTCCGGGCTCGCGGCGCGCTCTCTCTCTCTCTCTCGCTCTCTCGCTCTCTCCCTCTCTCTCTCTCTCTCTCTCTCTCTCTCTTCTCTCTCTCTCTCTCTCTCTCTCTCTCTCTCCTCTCTGCTCTCTTCGCCACTGGCTTCTGACGGAGTCTGGGTTAGGTGAGCCTGAGTGTGGGTGAGTCTGAGTATGGATACGTCTGTATGTGCCTGACTCTGAAGAAATGAATCTGAGTGTGAGTGAGCTTGTGTATGAGTGAGTCTGGGTGCGAGTCTGAATCCCAATGGTGCCCCTGGCAGCGTCTGGCGACTAGGAGGCCCGGGCCGGCTCCTCTTTGGGAAGCCAAAATGCTGCCCCTGGCAGCGTTTGGTGACTATGAAGCCCCTGGTGGACCCCCCTTGGGGCTCCCAAGTGATGCCCCTGGCAGCGTTTTGTGATCATGAGGCTCTCAAGAGATACATGTTGGGGGCGCCAAGCGGCATTTCTACTTGAGGCGTCCCCCCATATCGCGCGAACGGGCTCGTGAGATCAGCCAGGTGGCTCCCCCTTGGGCTTCCCGACTGGGGCTTCCCAATGATGCCCCTGGCAGCGTTTATGTGACCATGAGGCTTTCAAGAAACACAATTTGGGGAGGCAAACGGCAATTCTAGCTGAGGCGTCCCACTCCGATCGGGCGCGAACGGGCTCGTGAGATCAGCCAGGGTGGCTCCCCGTTGGGGCTCCCAAATGATGCCCCTGGCAGCGTTTTTGCGACCATGAGGCTCTCAAGAGATACATGTTGGGGACGCCAAACGGCAATTCTAGCTGAGGCGTCCCACCAAAATCGGCGCGAACGGGCTCGTGATATCAGCCATGGTGGCTCCCCCTTGGGGCTCCCAAATGATGCCCCTGGCAGCGTTTTGTGATCATGAGGCTCTCAAGAGAGACATGTTGGGGAGGCCAAACGGCAAGTTTAGCTGAGACGTCCCACCAAAATCGGCGCGAACGGGCTCGTGATATCAGCCAGGGTGGCTCCCCCTTGGGGCTCCCAAATGATGCCCCTGGCAGCGTTTTGTGATCATGAGGCTCTCAAGAGAGACATGTTGGGGAAGCCAAACGGCAATTTTAGCTGAGACGTCCCACCAAAATCGGCGCGAACGGGCTCGTGATATCAGCCAGGGTGGCTCCCCCTTGGGGCTCCCAAATGATGCCCCTGGCAGCGTTTTGTGATCATGAGGCTCTCAAGAGAGACATGTTGGGGAGGCCAAGCGGCAATTTTAGCTGAGACGTCCCACCAAAATCGGCGCGAACGGGCTCGTGATATCAGCCAGGGTGGCTCCCCCTTGGGGCTCCCAATTGATGCCCCTGGCAGCGTTTTGTGACCATGAGGCTCTCAAGAGAGACATGTTGGGGAGGCCAAACGGCAATTTTAGCTGAGACGTCCCACCAAAATCGGCGCGAACGGGCTCGTGAGATCAGCCAGGGTGGCCCCCCCTTGGGGCTCCCAAATGATGCCCCTGGCAGCGTTTTGTGATCATGAGAGAGTGTGAGTGAAATCTCTTATCTTGTCTTAGCTTATCTTATATCAACTCATCTTATCGCATCATATCTTGTCTTATCTTATTACTCCATAGGCTGTCTTATCTTATCTATTATCCTACCTTGTCATATATCTTATCTTACCTTATCATATCTTGTGATATCTTATCTTATCTTGTAGTATCTTATCTTGTCTTGTCTTATCTGGTGATTATCATTGGGAGGAGGGAGGCGCGAGCGGGAGGAAGGAGGAGCAGTGGGAGGCGTCAGAGTAATAACAAGAACCCCAATCCTTAGGATATGGGGAAAAACATGACGTCGGGGGTCTGGGGCCGGCGGCGACGAGAGGGGCGAATCGCCCAGGGGAGAGCAATGCCTGTATCCAGGGGCGCCGATGTTCTGTCTTCGACAGGGCTCCCGGGCGCATGCGTGTATTGCACGCCCCCGGGGCTGTTCGCCCCTGTCGTCGCCTCGGACCCGCCCCCCCTCGGGGGGGTTGGGCGCCGCCGCTGGCGGTCGTCTCTCCGCTCGGAGGTCGGAGAGGGGGGTAAACGGGTGTGGTGTCAAGTCGGGCCTGTCCCTTTACAGGCGGCAATTTTTAAAAAAAAAACACAAGAAAAACAACCAGTGGTCAGGGAACTAATGTTGGACTCTTGGTGGCTAGTTTTGAACACGTTCTGACTATTTCTTAATCTTCGTCCAGAATCCCCCCCCTGTAGGAGGACATGGCCGACTTAGTGTGGTGCCAAACGTTAAGATGGCGATGTTATCGACGATTGATGCATGATATCCCTATCCTACCTTGAGGACCGCATCCCAGAGCTAATTTCGAGCACCCTGAAGAAGATCGAAACAATGTCTGCCCGACACGCTAGCGAAGGGCCTGGCACGAGAACGTCCTCCAATTTTGGTACTTCTCTGGTGCTCGAAATTCTTTCGTGTGATCAAGGCTAAAGTAGGTCGGAACATCATAACGATATATGCTCTCAACTCAGTAATCAAGAGTGGGGGGTTTCTGGTACCCTCCAGACAGGCCGTTTTTGACCCTCCCCCCGTCAGGGAGACCCACCGAAATCTCTTCGCCAGACTCCCCCCCAAGCTCTCAAAGACATTCCCTTAAATCACCCCCCCAAATCAGACCCTCCCCGCTGTCTTATGCAATCGCAATCCAGAAATAACATCGCCAGATCCAGCAAAGGCACCACACCCCTTGAAACCACACCCGGGGGGGGCGCGCCAATCTCGGGCAATCTCCTCAGGGGGAGATCCGTATGCATAGATTGAGCCATTACTACACAAATGCGGGTAGATGAGGGGCCGAGGGGGAACGATGATGATGGATGCACTGTTCTTGCTGAAGCGGTGAAGCGGTGATGCTTCAGCACGATGGATACCGAACATAAATCCAGAGGAATGAACGAATCCTTCCTCCGGAGTTTTTGTTCGGAGATCCCCCGCCAGACCTGCTCGCGCCCCGCAGCAAAATCAAGACGGGAGCGTCTTGGCCGTTCCTTGGGCCTCTGGGGGCCCCTGCCGGGCCCCGGGGTCGTCCACAAGGGCGGCTCGGGACGAGAAACCGCGGTCCTGGGGAGCAGGTCGGGGCTTCTGGGGACCCCGTGCCGAAACACTCCCCCTCCTCCTCCGCCTCCTCCGCCTCCTCCTCCTCCTCCTCCTCCTCCTCCTCCTCCT